GCCTCAAGAATAATCACTTGGCAACAACTGCCAAACAGATATGAGCGGAAGCCCATGTGGTGTTTGTTGCAAAGGTGCCATCACAATTGCTAATGGTTGTGGGTTGCAGGCCATTGTTCATTGTGAACAGGTTATATGTGGATACCACTGTAGTTTTAGTGCCAGAATGGATGGCCTCCATGTTCCTGAAGGGCTGACAGGCATGCTCTCGTGAAGAGGAGGAGGGAGTGGACAGGGGAGTGATGCCTCACAGTACAGGAGCAAAGAGCACCTGAAGAACCGAGGGCATGCATCTTGTGAAGAGAGGGAGGCAGTGGGCAGGTAGTGTGCCTCATAGCACAGAATGAAAGAGCACTGTTGTGTAGTAGTCTGAAGAAGTGCATGTGTAGACTGTTTATAATTTTAGCTCTCTTTCTGTTCTGTGTTGCAGTTGGTGCTGTTGCTGGATCAGCCATTACATGATTATTTCCGGCAAGTGGACTGTCTGAACTACTTTTTCTGCTTCCGGTGGATTCTCATTCACTTCAAGAGGTAGGTCTTGTTTAAGCCAGCCTCAGCCTCGAGAGTCTAAGACCCTGGGAGCATATCGTTCTTTCTCTTTCCGTGCATCTTCTTCTCTCACTCCTCCCTCTCTTCCCCTCTGCCTTCCAACTTTGGTTGGTATGCTAGTTTCTTTTTTTAATCTGGTTTGCTAGTTTCTTTTTTCTTTATCTGGTGTGCTAGTTTCTTTCTTTTTTTAATCTGGTATGCTAGTTTCTTTTCTTTTGCAAATGTAAAAGTGCTGATGTCAACAAACCGTCAATGGAAGGAGATTGAAAGCTTGAAGTTTTGTGTTGAATACTTCAAAAGTTTGAAGTTAGTTGGCTATAAGGCTGGATTGCATTCAGATACAGTGTCCACGCTCTGCACTCAGGAATCGGTCATCGGTTGCTGTCTTTTGAAACATTGTTGAAATTGTGTCTGAAGTTCGGTGTTTCAGACCCTGTGTGATGTGGAAATGTGCAGTGCGGGTAGAAGTAAATGTCAGCAAGAATGATCAATCGTCTACTCTCTTGGTCAAATGGCATGGGGGAATAAGTCAGGGAAACGATCTTGATAATACTGCCGGAAAAATAATTTCTATCTTAGTGATGAAAACTGTAAGAACATATCGCACACGCCTGCGCTGTTCGGTGAGCGCAAATTAACGCACCGTAGCGTTATTTTGCACTATCGCGAAAGCCGAGGCCCCGAGGGCCTTGCCCACACGAAATAGACCGC